CCCCCAATAAAATGATTTAATAAAAAAAGATTTTTAAAAAAATCATTCATTGACACATATGTGAACTCCATTGGTCTTATCACACATAGTATTGCCCAAAGCTTTCAGCCTTACACTGATGGGATAAAACTTGAACTGAGCAATTCTAAAAAGCAGCTTGGAGCTAAGACTCTATTACTTTTAAATGAACCTGAACATAAGAGGCAAGGCTGTTCCTACACAATGGAAACCAGGAAAAATACACTGGATACAACTGGACACAAGAGAGCATCTCCTGGTATGTTCTGTGTCGTCTCGAGGAAAATGAGCACATGTACGGGTCATAGTCGAAAGGGCACAGCAATGACAGATTAAGCCTGTGTCGGTAAGTGCCCTAGCCTAGCAAAGGTACTAATGAAGGTTCAGGAAAAGCTGAAATAAGTTATAGAAAAGAAAGAATATGTATCGACGGGGCTGTTCCAACAGGATAGAGCAGGAGTAGCTGTGATTCTTATCTTTTCTTTGATAAACTCTCCCCAGTAAAGACAGCAAATAGAACTTTGTGAGTGCAGTTCTTAAAATACACACATATGAAGGAACGTGATCTGCATGGCACAAGGGGCAGGCTATAGTGGAAATTATGATTTGCTAACACAAATCTTCCCTTCAGAATCAATCAATTCTTGGCATGTGACTGCTATCATCTAAGTTACTCTTCAGCTATTGCTCTCATTCCAAGGTCATCACATTACTCAAGGTCATGACCACTCGGTGACCCATTTTGGTTTGATTAAGGGATATGAAGAACTGACCTCTCTACTTCACAGTGGAAAAAAATCTGAAGTAGCATCGCAACTATAGAATTCATTCCATGTTAGTGACATCACTCAAGGTCATATCTGCTTATGGCTCACTTTTGGCTTGATAAAGATCTAGTTTCTTTGCTTCAAGGTGGTGTCATTTTGAAGCTCCTTGTCACCGCTAGGCTCTTATGGGGCCATGAAATGTCTGATGTGACTACATCACCATATAGGTCCTCTCTCTGATCAGTTCTAGTTCTTTACACACCCATTGATGATGATCCTGTTGATACATTTTAGTAAGTTTCTGCATGCAAATAAGTATCCTTTGAGAATCAAATTTTACTCCATAAATGCTTATTTTCATTTTGAATGATTTCCAAGTGCCCAGATCTTTTTTGGCATACCCCGTGAGCAAGTGAAATCTCAAGTCACCGGTGAGTACAAGTCTAGCTAAGACAACATTTGTCCTATAAGCTGCTCATATTAGTATAGAGTGAGATCTTTAATTTGACAGACTATATAACATCGTACCAAGAAAAACATCATTTCAAATTAAATATCTTGATGAAGTATGCATAGGCTAAAAATTTCAGACATTCACTGTCCCATTTTTCTTCCAGTCTCTGTAATTTTCACCTTGGTAAGTAACTTACGTATTTTTGATATAAGGTAATATATGTTCAAAAAGTTGGCTTTTTGGTAAATAAGATGACAAACTATTAATATTATAATTTTAATTCTTGAGAAAGTTGCATGTATTTTTCACATGATAAAGGAAAAATAAAATTCAGTGACACGTTTGAGTAAGCAGTAATATTCTCAATCAAGAAGTGTAAACTAAGGAAGTCCAGTGATATGTTCTGAAAATTTACCACACACACAAGAATTCATATACCTCTCTAGCCAGGTCTAGCTTAGCATTGAAAGACACAGTTCCATTAAGATGAGAGTTAAAATAGACATATACAGGTGTATGTATTGAGAGAGTATGAGAGACCACCGCAGAAACATGGAATTCTTCTCTATGGCCTGAACAAGGGGTGTCATCGTTTTCCCCTGCCAATGATTTAAATAACTGTAAACTCTTCACTCTGTGCTGAACAGACTCCGTTTAAATATGTGGTTGCTAGAATTGCCTCAAATTCTCTTCCTACTGTGCCTTTATAGAACAGCTTGACAACCTCCACATCTGGTGGACATGAACTCCACAGTCATGGGTGCATTTCTATTTTCTTTCCAGCTGTGTGCCCTCTCAATCTGGGCTGAGCCAGAGAAACAAATAACAGAGACCAAGATACAATGATATCCAAATAACCAGATATCTACCTTCTTAGCACTTTGGAATTCTGCTCTGCCACGAAGCTGTATTTTGCCTTTATGAAATGTTTATTTTCCTTCTTCTAATAAAAATGTCTGTGTTCAGCATTGCGGTGCCTTTCTCTCTATTGTTTTCTCCTCTGTTGCTTCTCTGGATAGAGCGATGTTTTCTGCTGTCACACCAGAGGAAAGATTACCCATCTGTTTAAATTGGAGTACTTCCCCAAAGGGGGAAATATTTATCTTATAGCAATATAGCAATACAAGAGCTGCAGAAAAATATAGATCATTCTAGAGAAAAATTTTCAAAAGTAGAGAATTCGGCATCTTTGTTACTTGTTTCAAAATAATTAAAAGATTTTAAAAGTTCCATCCCTGTTAAAGACTGTGCTTTCATAGATATTTGAGAAAAAAAAATTAAAAGCATAACATAATTTTCACAGGATTTCAAATAATATCAAATGATCAGTCTTTTGTCTTCTCCATTTACTGTGCTGTTGATATTTGTCTTTTCTTATGAAAAACACCTGAGGTACTTAGCGGTGCAGAAAGTCATAGCAAATCAGATCGAGTTGAAGTATTTAAATATTAAGAAATGCATGTAATTTAAGGACATGCAAGCATAGAAAGTTTTCAAACATGCTTTAATTTCTTGTGTAGTTTTTAATCTTATTATATACATTCTAATGTTTAACATTTTATCACCTATCATGGAATACTGTAGCATTTAAATTATAGACTGTTAATAGGAAAGGAAAATAAGATGTTGATGCTACATCACTCCAGTCAATTTTGTGAATTTCTGCTGCTGTGTTGCCTCTATTGTTTCAAACTCTCTTAGGCTGGGTTGTCTAGAGAAATCAAACCAGTGACATCCATATGTGTCTAAGAAAGATCTTTTTATTAAAAAGGGGTTTCCCAGCCTTGTCCACCTCAAATCCACAAATTCAAAGCTAGCTGGCTCCCCTCCACACGTCGCTGCAGACTGAGGGCACAGAAAGGTGAAGCAGGATGTAAGGAGAACACCCGCAGGTGGGTGCCGTTGGATCCCAGATCTGTGTCCCTGGAGGCAAGCACAGAATCCAAGCAAGCAGGCATTGCTTCTCGGCCTTTTGGTTAAGATCAAGTGTAGTATCTGTTCTTATCAGTTTAATATCAGCTACGTCTATCCGAGGACAATATATTAAATGGATTTTTGGAGCAGGGAGATGGAATAGGCACTTGCTCCATCTGCTCCACGCATCAACCTGGTATTGCAGTACTGTGCTTCCAGGAGCAGTGCACCCCCTTTTGGCGGAAACATTTTTCTAAAAAACAATCCAAGCAAGCAGGAAGGTGAAAGGCAAGAGAGAGAATGTCTCTTTTATAAAAAGTCCACCCCCCCAAGTAGGGATCGTCAGTCTGTAATCTGACTGATAGGTTGGACTTTATTCGTACACTTGTATCCAAGTATAAGTTGACATCGAAGATAACCAACACAAAACTATAACTTCAACGTATCCTTTACAAAAGGTGACTTTCACATATTTTTTTCAGAATTGAAACTCTAAATTCTTATCTTTACACCTCTCTTTGCATCTCTCAAATTACTGTCAAATTGGCACTTCCCCTTCAGCAAACAGAATTAATTATATGTAATAATTATATATCATATATATATATATATATATTAGCAAAGACCGTTTAGGAGGCCTGCTGACCAGAAGAATATACTTGGAAATCTTTTCTCCATTTACCATGATGTTACTTATTAGTCCAATTGTAAGGATTTTGGTCTCCTTTACATTAATTTATAATTTATACTAAAAGTTGCAATCCCTGACCTTCATCAGCAAGTGCTTAGAGGCCCCCTGACTTTCAGTTAACAAGGTGTGTCATCTGCATATTGCAGGTGTTAGTAAGCCTTCCTCCAAGCCTGACGTCACATTCTTTGTCACATAAGCCAACTGCTTTATTTGCTTTGTGTGCAGACTGAATATATTTGCTAAGAGGATACAACGCAGACATCCACCTTCCCTGATTTTAAATCAGGCAATATTCCCCTGCTCTACTCTTACAACTGTCTTTTGATCTGTGTGCAAATTCCTTAGGAACATAAGGAAGTGTAGTGGAAAACTGTCCATAGTCTGTTATGATCCACACAATCAAATAGCTTCGCCTAGTCAATGACACACACATAAACATCTTGCTGATATACTCTGTTTTCAGCCAGCGTCTTGCTGATATCAGCATTGGCCCCTGTCCTCTTCTGAAAATGGCCTGATCTGCTGGCTGCTCCCTGTCAATATCCTACTGCAACTGTTGTTGGACCATCTACAACAAAATTTTACTTTCATTATTAATGATAATTGTTCTATAATTTGAGCATTCTGTTGGGTCACTTTTCTTTGGAATGGGTCCACTATGAATCTCTTCCAATCAGTTGGCCATGTAGGTGCCTTCCAAATTTCTCAGCATAGAGGGGTGATTGCTCCCAGGACTTCATCAGCCTGTTGAAACATCTTAATTGGTATTCCCTCAGTTCCTGGTGCCTTCTTCTTACCAATGCTCTCAGGGCAGCTTGAACTTCTTCCTTCAGTACCTCGGTTCTTGTTCATATGCTACCTTCTGAAAGGGTGGAAGCTCAACGAGTTCTTTTTGGTTCAGTGATTCTGTGCATTCTTTCCATCTTCTTTTGGTGATTCCTACATCATTTAATGTTTTGCCTGTAGACTCTCAAGAATGTGACTTGAGGCTTGAATTTTTTCTTGTGTTTGAGTTTCAGATATGCTGAATGTGTTCTTTTATGGCTTTCTATTCTAGTTTCGCACATTCCATTATAAAATTTAATTTTGTTTTCTCCAACTGCTTTTGAATATTTCTGTTCAGCTCTTATTCTTCAAAATTTCCATTTGTCTTAACCATTTTATGATTAGAAGCAAATTTCAGAGGCTCTTCTAACATGCTCTTTGATTTTTCTCTTTTTCCCTTTATTTTTACTGACCTTTTTCTTCCTTGATAAATGACATTCGTAATGCCCTCTCACAGATTATTAGGTCTTCAATCATTAATGCTCAATATAATAAATAGGTCTTGATTTTACATTGATGAAACACACTATGTTCCTCCGGTTCCTTGAGGCTTCCTCACCCCCCACAACCATGACCCCAGTGCTGCTTCTCAATTCAGACTAGACCGGAACATGGACACAGGTACGGATAAGAGATGGGAGCTCACGACACACAGAATCCAGGAACAGGAGTGGGAATAGTGACACCAGAAGGGTAGGAGGAAGCAGGAGAGAGGAAGGGAGAAAGGGGGAATCAATGGCAATGATGGACACATAACCATTGACCCCTCTCCAGGGGGGAAGAACGAACGGAAACATGGGTGAAGGGAGACAGCAGTCAGGATGAGATATGAAAATAATAACAATCAAGGGGTTATGGGGGCAGGGCAGGGAGTGGGGAAAAAAGCGGAGCTGATACCAGGAGCTCAAAAGAAAGTAAATGTTTAGAAAAGAATGAAGGTACCATATGTACAAATTCGCCTGATGCAAGCAATGTATGGATTGTGATAAGAGTTGTAAGAGTCCCCAATAGGATGATCTTTTAATAAAGTAATAATAAGAATAAATCTGTCTTAAGATGGTCTCAAAATTTGGTGGGATAAACTTTCGATATTATCTGCTCTCATGGAGTTATTTTAATATTTTCAGCTTCAATTTGAACTTACCTATAAGCAATTGATAGTCTGTTTCATAGTCAGCCAGCGCCTGATATTGAACTTCTGTATCATCTCTTCCCATGGAGTAAACACATCTGTGTATTCCTTCTGGAGAAGTCCATGTGCATAGGAGCTGTGGGGTTCTTTCAAATAGGTGTTCGCTCTGAAAAAGTTGTTGGTCTTTGAGATTTCTGTCGTGCAACCTCCAGCTGTGTTTCTCTCACCAAGACCCCGTTTTCTCATCACTGGGCCCTCCTCTTGGTTTCCGTTTTTTTCGCCAGTAGCTTACGATTATCAATGCATCTTGATTGCATGTTTGGTCAAGTTCAAACTGAAGACATTGGTAGAATTCTTTAGTTTTCCCCCACTAGTTTCTTTATTGGTTCATAAATTTTAATAACAGTTGTACTGATTGGATTTCTTTCAATGAGGATAGATATAATGCTATCACAGAAAGCCCTATACTTCAAGGTGGATATTCAATTTTCCTTTTTGATAATGAATGCAATGCCACTTTGCAATTTAATATGCATTTGACAACTTAGTATACATTTTGAAATTGAGTTGCATTTACAACTTACTGTACATTTTCATGTTACTAAGTTGCCTTGAATATGAATTTTAATAAACAGTTATGAAAAGTTTTTCTGAAAAGAATTGTTAATTCCATCCATAGGAAATATGATCAGGCAATTTACACTTTGAGTTTAAAATTATATATCATTAAACCACCTTTAACAATCTACTAATTGCCAGTCATTTTGAATATCCAGATTTCTCCTAGGTATGGATCATCCAGCTTAGAGAAATCATGTGGGGTATTGATTAAAAAAAACCAAAAACCCTAGATAAACTTGCCCTGAAACTCTGTTTTAGAGAGTTATAATAAGAAAAGTATTATATTTGTCTTTCACATCTATTTCTGATCTTTTTCTCATTGTGGCTTGATACATGTTTAAGAGTTGATGTAGGAATCACTGGTGGCTCAAATAGTTAAGCACTAGACTACTAGTTACAATGTTGGTGACTCACATACACTTGGAACTGCCTTTGAACGTAAGGCTGGTGTGCTGCTTCTGAAAACCATAGCCCGGGAAACATGAGAGACAGTTTACTCTGCGCAGAGGGTAATTATTAATCAGAATTAACTTAGTATTAATTAATAATGATTAACAAAACATGATGAGTAAGCATCATTAATTGTCACAGATTTTCAAACGTTTATTAAAGTATACTCCATATAAGGTAGCAGTGACCATTCTGAGACTGTGAACTGAAAACAATGATTATTAGAGGAAAATGTCTGCCTCTTTATTACCTTTTCTTTTATTCCCTGACTATATCTCCTTCTTGTGTCTCTCCAGAGCCTATCCAGTAATATTATTGGCTGTGGGGTTTGCATGAAATCACAAAGCACATCAATAAGAACTCACTCTATTTGATTCAGGAATTGAAAATTAACAGCTCTTAGTGCTGTTAATGCTAATCTTGCAACAATCAAACATCTGGACTGCTAATCTCAGGACTGTGATTGAGAGCCTCTCTTCTCAGTCATCTGTGAAACATTCTGCTGTACTTATTCAATTCTCCCAAGAATCAGCAAATCCTCCTTGCTCTGTGTGCTTTCTGTCCCTACTCTGGTCACAAACGCCCAACACACATATTAACACGTTTTCTTGTTTAGTAACCTTTGAAAAAGCAATCCTTCCTTGGCCAGATTATGAATCATTTAGAAATATCTAAAAGGCTAGAATTGAACTCTTGAAGTTAAAATTATTTCCAGCCTGTAACATCACCACATATATTGCATTTGGGTACAATCTGAGTATTTTATTCAATGTGGGCACAAGACCAGGAGGACACTCTTGAGATCCAAAAGTTACAAACCATCTGTTTCTGGCAGACTCCAGTTTCAGAGGTTCTCCTGGAAGCAATCGCTTTTGATCCCTTCCTCCGATGTCTTTGAGATCTTGTCAGAGGCCCTGGAAGCTCTTCACGGGCAACTGTTTAACACGGGAAAGAAACTGACTGGGGGACTCCTAATTCTCCTTGCTTTGCTTCGGATTCTCTCAGTCTCAAGGAGGAAAAAACAGAGCCATCTTTAACCTTTATCATTCACCAAGAGTATCTCGCTGGCTGACAAGCAGAGAGGTAGTATTTTCAGAAGTGGAAATGGACTCAGAGTTGGAATTTGTACAAATTCGACATAAGCGCAGGATTCTTAGGAGAAAGTGAGTGCTCCGAGAAAGTGTGGATTCTGGTGATTTATTAAAGTGTCACCTAGACACTTATATTCTCTTTAATTGCACATACTATAGTTAAGAATCTAAATGAGGGGAAGCATTTGCCCTCTTGTTGCCCGATCCCATTGCTGCTTTTCAGTTTTATATATTAAACTGCAGACTATATTGGCCAAATACCAGAATAGTTTAAAGTACCATGCTCATAGAACTTTGAGTTCTTGAAGGAATTAAAGATCATAGCTTGAAACTGTGGTTCAAAGATTGGCGAGATCCAGGCTTGCTTTGTTTTACTGCCCTTCACGTTATTCCACTTCTCTGACAGCGAGAACGCTGTAAACCGA